TAGATGATTTAATTTTGTGATGTGAAACTTGGAAGTGAAATTCTTTTTGTTCATTTAAATGTTTCAGAGATGTTAATATCCAATTAGCTTTTGTTCTGTTTCCCAACCCTTTGGTTTTTTTGAAAACTAACAACTTAAATAATAATTTATATTTCTATGTACTGGATATAACTCAGTATTTACAGGAACTTTTTGGACAAACCTGTTAATTCAACTAGTCATTCCTCAGTTTAGTAATACCAGATTTTCTTTTTTTTTGAGACAGAGTCTCGCTCTGGCGTCCAGGCTGGAGTGCAGTGGTGTGATCTTGGCTCACTGCAACCTCTGCCTCAGCCTCCCAAGTAGCTGGGATTACAGACGCACGCCACCACTACCGGCTAATTTTTGTATTTTTAGTAGAGACGGGGTTTCACCATCTTGGTTAGGCTGGTCTTGAATTCCTGACCTCGTGATCCACCTGCCTCGGCCTCCCAAAGTGTTAAGATTACAGGTGTGAGCCACTGTGCCTGGCCGCAGATTTTCTTAAAATTAAGGTTAAGGGCATGTCTGAATTGTTATTTACATTTTCCTTGGTCTAGTTTTCTTGTTTTTGCCTTTATATTTTTCCTTTTTTTTTCTTCTGAGATGGGGTTTTGCCATGTTGCCCAGGCTACTCTCAACCTGAGCTCAAGCAATTGGCCAGCCTCAGCCCCTCAAAGTGCTGCGATTAGACGTGAGCTACCACACCTGGCCTTATACTTTTCCTTTAATTTGCTATTGTAAAAAACGGTTGTGTCTTAAAAAAAAAATCAGACGAGTACCTTGAACCTTCTGGAGGAAAGTTCTTAGGATATTCCAATAAATTAACCACATTCTTTATGTTACTCATATTGTACTCCCTGTGAATTGCACACCAAGAAAGCTAAGTTTTAGATTATAATGACTTTCATCTTCTACTGCTAACACCAAAATTTGGCTAGTTTGTTTTTATTTTTTACCTCCATAGATCCATGTTCTCCAGTAGCAAAGGGTAAAAGGCTTTCATAGAGTTTTGTGAATGCATCCAATCCAGTCTCTATGATCTCTGCTTCTATGCTGGGATCCAAAGGCTCAGTCTCTGTGAAATCCAGTTCCCACACTGCGTCAACCCATTCTAGGGGAAAATGCAATGAAATTTGTAAGTACTTCGTAACAAGTGAAAAAACTAATCACTTTAGATTCCAGGTATGTTCAAGAGGAAAAAAGTTTATTAGTCACAGTTCACATTTAACTTGTTTTAATAATATAGGTGTAGCATAATAAAAGAAAACCAGAAAAGGTTAAGAGAATCTTAAATCACAACTGACACTGGCTATTAAGCTAATCATCTTCTAAGAATATAAAGAAGGAAACACTTTTAAGAGTTTTGGGAAAGGACACTTCAAAACATTTAGTGATCAGGCTTTCCCATTTGTTCAATCTAGAGAAGAAACAGAGGTTAATCAGATTGCCCAAGATGTTCCTTTGTGAAAATATCATAACCAAGTTAATAAGTGGAAATAAAATATATAGCACTTTATTGGGCCCTTGGACAATAATGTAGCATTTAAAAAACAGACATAATTTCCCCAGGAAGTTTAAAATAGATGAGGCAAGCCAGATTCAGACTCACAGAAATCCTTGGTGACTTTAAAATACACTGATTGAAAGAATGTACACTGAGAGGAGGGATATTAAGACGGCATGCTGGCTGGATTTCTTATCAATCTCTCTTAACTCTAAATCTTCCCATTCTTTTCTTTTTTTTTTTTGGAAAAAAAATTTTTTTTTTTAACTTATACTTTAAGTTCTTGGGTACAGGTGCACAACATGCAGGTTTGTTACATAGGTATACACGTACCATGGTGGTTTGCTGTATCCACCAACCCATCATCTACATTAGTTATTTCTCCTAATGGTATCCCTCCCCTATCCATCCACCCCTCCTTCCCATTCTTTTCTAATAAAGTATATTTCTTCGGTGTTTTCATTGTTATTTTCCCAAACTAAAATTAGGACTAGATGGAAATGTGGACATCTCAAATTATTAATCAGGTGTTCCTTCAAATTAGCATTAAAAGTATTTGCTCACTGCTGATTTAGAGAAGTTGGGCAAGGTATAAATAAAGAAAAAACAGAGATGGGAGCATTACAACGCACTCAGCAAATGAAAATAAAAGGCCTTACACTCAACTAGATCCATCCTTAGAATACAATCTGCTCATCACCTTTTGTCACTTGAACTTGACCCTGGAGGAGGGAGTCTCTGTACCCTAAGTAGCTGTGCACAGCATTCCTTCCAAAGACATGCAATATGCTGCCTGAAAGAAGATCTGAAAAACACAATCGTATCTTTCTAAATTTCCAATAATGTTTTAAAGGTCATCATAGACCACAGCAAAAGTTATCTCACTCCTTTTGGTCTTGCTTATAATCATTCCCTACTATAAATACCATCAAATCTAATTTGGATGGCAGTAACTGGCCCTGTTATCTACCACTTGGTCACAGAAGTCTTCAGTGTTGATTGCTGAGTGAGAGTACAGGAGACACCGAGTTAGATTTTTTTTTTCCTCAATATCTTTACACTATTCAAATCCCTCACTACCTATTTTCTCAGTTGTCGAATGCAGGTAACTTCTGCTCTACTTCACTTAGGATGGAAGAAAAGGAAGAAATACATCACTTATTTACTCAACAAACACTTTGAGAAAATACTAGGGAAGCCACTTACACTTCTAGGGATACAAAGATGAATACTAGAGGGTTCTTGTCCACAAAGATCTCAACATTTCACACTTGGGATACCAAAAAAAGCAGCCTATGATAGAAAAGAGAGCACTGAATTTTGAGTCAGAACAAGGCAAATATCCTGACTTGATCACTTACACGTAATTAGTCTCTCCTTCATCACTGGAAATACAAGATTTTTGTGAAAGATAATGTGTATAAAGGCCCTAACAATGTGCTAACCACATAAAAAGCAGTCAATAGATGATGTTTATTATTTTTGCAATGGATGAGTGTTAAAATAATAGATATGTAAAATGTAAAGCGCTACAGAGCTTAATAGGGAATATTACTGGAGGAGGAGGAAGAGGCAGAGGAATAAGATGATTCTTCAATTGGACCTGAAAGAGTTTTGCCAGGCAAATAAATGCAGAAAAGTGCACCCCAGCAGGCACAGTGTAACAAAGCACAAAGGGAAAGAAATTAAAGTGTTTTGAAATGAAAAAAATTGTTATAACACAGTTTGCTCGTGGGTATTAGTATCTATTCAGCAGTTATTATGTATCTATTCAGCAGGTACAAAATTTATCTTTACAAAAACCTCTGTGGGGTAGATATTGCACTCCTCATTTGACAAATCAGAAAACAGGAGTTTAGCAAGGAGAAGTAACTTGCACAGTAACACATGGATGCTATGGGGTACAGCCAAGGGAGCAATCCCAGTGTGTCTGACTCCAAAGGTTATACTCTTGACAAATCAAACTGGAGAGAATGGCAAAGACTTATAAAGTATGCCAAGGATCTGGTCATTTATTTAGGAAACAAAGGGGAAACATTAAAGGTGTACAGGCTTGACACATTCAAAGCTGTGTTTTCAAAAGTCGGTCTGCAAAAGTGTGGGGGATGGGCTGGCACAGTTAACATCAGAAAGCAGCTAAAATACTCCTGCAATTGCTTGAGGCTGACTATGATGAAGGCAGTAGCACCAGGAATGGAGCGGGTCGGCCCTGAGACACCTCGGACGCAGGACAGTGGTGGCAGGCATGAAAGGGGAAGCAGAAATGCCATGACTCCTGGGTTGGTGGCTTGGATAGTGCCATTAGCAGGCTTTGGGAATCCCATTTTCACTCATGTGACGTGTGATGATGTCTGCATGTGAGACATCCAGTTGAACCTATGAACATGAAGTTCAAGAAATAAGTCTGGCCGAAGAAAAAGATTTGCAATTTAAAACCATCTGAATAGGTAAGAATAGAGAGGTGCACGAAGAGGTGCACAGGAAGAAGGGGAAGGCCGAGAAAACAGATGCACAAGCGCTAGAAGAGACTGGCCAACATTCGCTTATTCTAAGGGTGGCCTGGCCGGCTTGAACCCCCACGGGAAACCTGGCTGGCCGCAATCCTGGCGTGGCACGGCCCTGGGCACCCCAGGCACCGCCGACAGCCGGGCGCCCCCACCCCGCCCCCACCCGCACCACGGCCCGGGCTTAGGCGTCGTCGGGGACGCAAAGGACCCCCGCCCTGCCAGGGCCTCGCGGCTGCGTCTGCTCACCGAGTCTAAGATCCAGCGGACACCACGGCTGCAGGCCGCTACCAAGGCCCCGCAGCGCCACCATGATCCCCAGGCCACCGGCTCGCCGCCGCCGTGCTCAACTTTCAAAGCTCGCTCCCGCGCGCGCGCCGAGTCGTTCCTGCGGACCAATCACAACGTACAGAATTTCCCACCGGCCAATCACCGCACCGAGCCGTTTCCATTCGCTCAACCAATCACCTGCGTCGTCCGCCGCACGCTCAGAGAACTGGGCGGGCCGAAAAGTGGAAGCCAAACAAGGCTCCTGCGGGTGACTTTTCCGCTAATTCGTTCAAGGAGCCAGGGCCTGAGTTAAACCCTAACAGCGTTTTTCCCGCTTCGTTTTTCTTCAGTGGGGGAATCTAAAGGGTATCCGAGACAGGGTACTTCCGGTGGTAACTGTCACCTTTGCCCTCGTCAGGCGACATTTCGCGTGCGTGTCAAAGGGCTGCCTTTCCCGTCAGACAGCACTGGAACCGCGTAATATCCGAATGTGAAAGGCAGCCCAACGTGTATCGAGCTAAAGCAATAAGGGAAAGTAGCCGAAAGCACTCCGAGAAGACGACTGCAGTTCTGTGGACTGCGGGCATGCGTGGGCCCAGAGCCTGTCCCAGCGAAGTAGCAGCTGCCATGCCGACGGCGGGAGCGCCGGCCGCGCTCTTCCTGCGCATGCGCAGCGAGCTGTCCTCCTGGAGGCCGGGAGGCCCAGGCGCGGAGATAGGGGGTGCGCATGCGCGCCGCTGCTCCAGCGCATCCGGGCTGGAGCTCGCCCGCCCCCTCCCCCGCCCGGAGCCGCCGAAGCGCCTCGGTGGGTTGCACCGCCGGAGGCTGGGCAGCTCTCAGCGCTGCTCGGCGCTGGACCCCACCCGGCCCGCGCAGGCCAAGCACACCCGGCCCTGTGCGGCTGCCCCCCCCCCCGCAGCATTGCACGGCCGACCCTCGCCCGCCCACTGCCACCGGCTGCTGGACTGGCTGGGACTGGCTCGGCGCAGGGCACTGCTCCTCGGTGCATTGCTGCTCGGGCGCCGCAGCCCGCAGCCGCCTGCCTCCCCCGGCCGGCCGTGCCCCTCCCCCGTGGTACCGGCTGTCGGTCGGCGCCCACTGCCCGGCGGCAGCGGCAGAGCCAGGCAGCGCCGCGGCGGCCGAGCGCGCTCGCTCGTAGGGCCCTCTGGCCTTCCTTACCTAGGGCAGCCCGCGCCCCGGTGCGAGGGAGCGGTCCTTACCGAGACCCGCCCGGCCCGGCGGTGCAATGAGCTTCTTCGGCTTCGGGCAGAGCGTGGAGGTGGAAATCCTTCTGAACGATGCGGAGAGTAGGAAGCGGGCCGAGCACAAGACGGAGGACGGGAAGAAGGAGAAATATTTCCTCTTCTACGACGGGGAGACTGTCTCCGGGAAGGTGAGCCTTGCCCTCAAGAACCCCAACAAGCGGCTGGAGCACCAGGGCATCAAAATCGAGTTCATCGGGCAGATCGGTGAGTCGACCCCGGGGACCCCGTCCCCCAGCGCCGACAGCCGGCCGGGGAGCAGGGTGATTCAGGGCCCAGCTCCGGCGAGGCCTGTCACAGTCGCTTGTCAACTGCAGTCTGAGGCCTGGGGTTCAGCTACAAGTCCCGCCCGTGGGCGACTCCCCCTGCGTTACTGTCCTGCCAAAAGTGACAGCGCGCTGCCAGGGAGATGGGGACGGCGAGGGCGGGAGGAAGCACCCTGCTGTGCCTCGTGGGATGGGTGCCTTGCCTATGGGTTCTCCCCATTGTTTCCAGCGTGCACTTGGCTTTGCTTCTTGTCCCCAGGATGTGAGTGAGGTGCTCTGGCCATAGCCTGCAGGTGGGTTTGTTAGGGGGAGACCACTCTGCCAATACTGGCTCTCCCATCACCCGGTCATCTGCAACTGCCAGACGCAAAGTGAGGCTGGTCCACCGAGCCCCACTTCCCAGCGCCCCCACCAACCCGTTTTTCTCTTCAGATGTGGTGTGTGAGAGCTAACCACTTCTCTCTTACCTCACCTCAACCCTGAACTACCTATGCTTGTACATGTTTCCAGAAAGAAGACCCGTAATCTTCAGTCTAAATCTGACTACCTAGGCTGCGTTTCTTAGACTTCTTTATTAGAATGCGAGTTTTCAGTTACCACATTTTCTCTTTAAAGACAAAGAAATGGTGTTTCCAAAAACCACAATTAAGTGATCAGAGTTTCTCAATGCTTTAAACATGATTATTAGTCATTAGAACTAGACAGCGCCAGACACAGTGGCTGATGCCTGCAATCCCAGCATTTTGGAAGGCTGAAGTGGGAGGATTGCTTGAGGCCAGGAGTTGGAGACCAGCCTGGGCAATATAGCAAGACCTGTCTCTACCCCCCCAAAAATTTTCCTAGTTAGCTGGGCTTGGTGGCATACCTGTAGTCCTAGCTTCTTGGGAGGCTAAGATGGGAGGATTGCTTGAACCCAGGAGTTGCAGGCAGCAGTGAGCTGTAATGACACCACAGCACTCCAGCCTGGGTGACAACCAGCAAGACCCTGTCTCAAAAAAATAAACAAATAAACAAATAAGAACTAGACAGTAAAAGGCAGTAATGGTAAAGGGATTTGGGGAGCTCCCAGTCAAGACTGGGTTATCTCCAATTCTAAGCCTTATTTAGACTCTTGTGTATTATTAAAATGCGTGGGTACTTTTAAAATAAGTGTTTTTGTCATTAGGTTAGGAGTAGAATCACAGTAAATACTCTGTGAGCTACAGAGCTCTGGTAGAGAATCCATACCTATACCACACACTGCATGCATAACTGTTTTCAGAGACTTCCTTGGGGAATCTTTGTTAAACTCTCTCTCATATCCTGAGAATTTAGCAAAGAATTTGCCCTCTCCTTTTCAGAGTCAGGAAACACTGAGACACAGGTAGGGGAAACCCTAGGAAAAGGAGGCCTTGTGGCCTGGCTCTTGCGTTCACTGCTCAGCCTCAAGCATTTTGCCTCTGGTGTTGAAGAACATGAAATCGGGTTGAAGACTGACTGATCCTATAGGAAGCTCTTTGTCGTCATTTTAAAGCCAGAATATGAAAGGCCTGTTAGTGTACCAGAAAAAGGGCTGAAGGGTGAGTTCCATGCCTTCTGCTTTCCTGCTTCAGGGTCCAGTGGTGGAGTAGATGGCAAGGTTCCTCAGCAGCAGCACTGTGATGTCTGGCGTCGTTTGGCACGTTGTCCTCGATGTTTAGCAGCATTCCTAGCCTCTACTGAGGAGACAACCGTAGCATCCCCCACTCGTGACCACAGAAATGTCTTGAGATATTGCTTTATATCCCCTGGAGGGTAAAATCATCTCTAATAAAGAACCCTGGGATAAACAGGATGAGTCCGAAGCATATTATGCTAAGCATAGTAACTAGTCAAGAAATCCTTGCCTACTGAGAAAGGGTATTTTTTAGTAGCAGTTTTAAAGTTATTGCATTGATTCTTTGGCTCCATAATAATAGTGTTGACAAGCATGTTTAATCTGTGTCTACACCATCACTCCCAGGTGGTGGTACCTTGCCAGTATGTGAAAGATAATCCAGAATGTCTTCTGCCCCAGACAGTGTGAAATGAGCTGTTCTACGAATGGTGTCAAGGCCTTCCTCTGGTCTAAATGAAAGGGAGTTGAAGAAGCTGCTTGCTGTGCCTGCCCCACCTGATTTCTTGTCTAACTCCTTACTCCCGAGACATCCATCATCCCTGCTGAATTTTCTCAGAACCTTTTGTTGCTTCCACTGGTAACTCTTCCTGGGCCCTTGGGCACCCTGGGTTGAAGTGACCATGAGACTTTGGGGGAATTTAGCCACTCTCTGGGCCTTGGCTTTCTCAGCTATCAAGCAAGGAAAATAAAATCACTTGGTGAGAATGTTGGGCATGCCAGGGGATCATGCATGACCCTTGTAGAGGGTTCCTTTATAAAATTATGGTAGTCGATGTAGTAAAATGTTTCCATTTCACAAATTGAGTTATCACTCACTGGCTTGCTGCTCTTCCTCCTATACCTGTTTTACCTGAATAAGATCGCCCTGTCTACTGATAGGGAGTGCATGTTTCAACCCTTTGCCTTAAATCTCTTACTTTGACCACATGGGCCAGTCTCAGTTGGTGTTGTAGATGGAACCAATCCCAGCTTTGTGCTGAAGTATATTGTTCACGCACAATTATCCATGGTTACATAAGGGCGTGGAAATAGAATAACACAGAATGATGGACAATATGTTTCTTCTTGTTTGGCTTTGGAATGTATTTCTTGATCAAGAACAAGGCATTAGAATAACCTTTGTAGTTCTATTTGATGTAAAAGGGAGTTTGTGTTCCTAAATGCACACACTGACAGGGAGTAAAGATGTACCAGGCTATTTGGAAGCACAGAGTGACTTTTCTTAGACTCTTATATTCCTCTTTTATCTTCCTGGTTCCCCGAAAGAAGCATGTTGTGAAGTATTTGTGTCATACACCTATGTCAGTCATTTTGAACTGAACTTGGGGCACCAGAGCAAGGCTAGTGAGTGAGTTTGCTGAAGTTGCGGTTGTGTGGTTTTCTCCTTCATTGCATTCTTTGATTACGTGTGAAATGGGCGGAACTTCAGTCTGTTCTGAGGTCTGGCTGGCGGGGGTGGCATATGGCAGTAATCAAGTTGATAGCACTGAGCTCTGTCCCTCTTCCTTGTTGATTTGGAGGCAGGCAGGCAGAGGTGTCACTTTTATCCTGTCACTTGCTGTGGCAGTCTCATCTGTACCGATGACTTATTTTCTTTATTTTTTATTTAAAACCATTTTTGAGACACGGTCTCACTCCATCACCCAGGCTAGAGTACAGTGCCATGATCACGGCTCACTGCAGCCTCAACCTCCTGGGCTCAAGCAATCCTCCCATCTCTGCCTCCCAAGTAGCCGAGACTACAGGTGCATGCCACCACACCCAGCTAAGTTTTTAAATTTTATGTAGAGACAGCGTCTTTCTTTATTGCCCAGGCTGATCTGGAACTCAAGCGATCCTCCTGCCTTGGCCTCCCAGAGTGCTGGGATTACATACATGAGTCACCGTGCTGAGCCCCATGAATTATATTCTGATGACTCCCAGACTGTTTCTTTGTCCTGACCCGACCTCTCTTCCGAGTTTCACACGTCTTTCCAGCTGTCTGCTAGACATGTCCCCTGGGATACCCCACAGGTGCCTCAGAAACACACGCAAACACAGACCCCTCTCTCTGCCTCTGCCCCAGCCACAGCCCTACTGCTTCTCCTTTTCTCCCATTTCGGCCTATGTCACCTGGGATCATTTAGCCTCAGAAATCTAGAAGTCATTTTGAAGTCTTGGCTTCTCCTCCCACACATGCAGTTGGCTGCTAAGTTTTGGCCTTCTCTGCTAGCTCTGCAGTATATCTCAAACCAGCGGTCTCTTTATTCTCAATGCCACTGCCTTTTGTTTTCTGTATGTAGCAACTTCCTAACTGGTCTTCCTGCCTTTGTCTTCCTCCCCTTTCAGGTCATTTTCTGTGAGGATGAAGTTTCTTAAAGGCAGTTCTATCATTGTCAGTCCTTCCTTAAAATTCTTGTCGCCTCCCTATTGGTTAATGGGGGAAAGTATATCCAAATCCCTCCTGCTCTGGCCCTGCCTCTCTTTCCAGTGTTGTCTCCCCCTAGCCCTTCACTCTCACCACTTGTAGGTTCCAGAAACTATCCTTTTCTTCTAGAATCTTGGTATTTTCCCTTTGTGTAGTAACATCTTTCTGCAAGATATAACTAACCTTCCACACAAGCTCTTACTCCTTCAAAGCTAACATCACATCCATCAGAACGTCTTCTCCGACTTCCCCAGGCCGACTTAAGTGCTTCCTCCACTGTTCTTCCAGAGGCCTCATTAATACCTCTTTTCAAGCAGGGTATGACAAGGTTGCGACTTTTTTTTCAACTTGTCTGTCTTTCTTACTAATTTCTGAGCACCTGAGATCCAGGGACTGCCTTCAGCCCATCGTTAGTGCAGTGGCTAGCACGTAGAAGCTGCCTAGTAAATATTTGTCAAATGGATATATTGGTCAGATCTAAGAATTTACAAAAACTATTCTTTGTTTTTTGTTTTTTTTCCCTCATCTCTTCCCAGATAAGCAAGAGTTATTTTAATGAAAGAAAGACAGAATTCAGGTTTGCTCTGGTAGTTGAGCGGCTGAGCTTCCTGCCTTTGTTATGGAGGAGGCACTGATGAGCAACATGTAGCTGCCCATCAAGGCCACTCAGAACTCGGTGACTCACCAGCTGCCGTGTCCCCACTGGGGCTGCATCCTCACTGGGGGAACTGGGATAAGGAAGCATTAAAGCTGATGTCAGTTTACCTGCCTTTACATCTTTCTTTCCGCACACTCTCCTGTGCCAAGTTGAAACTGATTTCCCCTTGCATGTGAGAACGTGGTTGTCAGACATCTGGTCCATTTGGTCCTGCATCACTGCTCAAATATGGCAGTTTGAGCGTTGCCCCCTGAGACTGTAAGACCTTATTTATTCCCTTATGTGGTGGACGTTTTTCTGTAATCCTCTGCAAGTTGTTGAGCCACACTGGGATCCTTCCTGTGCCTAGGACACTTCTCCAGTGGCTTGGTCTGTGTTCTCACAGTGCCAGCAAATGTGATGAGAGCATCTCTCGGATCAGGCCCATGGGATAGAAAGGTCTAAGACCCAGTCACCCTAATGGCCCACGGTTTTAGAAAGATGCAGTAGTCTATGAGGATCACTGCAAGGAAAAGCTGTAATTGCGAGAAGAAGAGACCACTGTTGAGCTGGAATCCTTTGGGGAGCACCAGTGAAGGTTAGAAAGCAGACCTGGGCCGCCTTGGAGACTAATGGGGTTAAATAAACCAAAGGTAATTAGAAGGTCAGACATGCGGAGGAGGGCAGACAGGAACATCCCTGTACTCCAAAGCCAACAGACATCATCCGGATTTTTTTTTTTAAGGTTCAAGCCTATACTTTTAAAAACTCCAGGGGCTTTCTGTGTTTTAATTCATTAGCCCTTGAAACACTAAGTAAAAGGCACATTAAGATGAGATGGATTGATTCTGGCCTCCTTAACAAGCTGCTGGTGGGACTGGAGCAGAGCTGTGGCTGGCAAGGTGTGGGCCGCCCAGAGGTGCCAGTGTTTGCAGGTTTCCCAGGGTTGGCAGACAGGAGTAGGGTGTGGCAAGCACGAATCCCGACAGTGACCAGCCAGCAGACAGTGGCTGGGAGGGTCCGATGGAGAGGAGGCTCTTTGGAGGGTTTTGTTTTGTTGTTGAGATGGAGTCTTGCTCTGTCGCCCAGGCTAGAGTGCAGTGGCGCATTCTCAGCTCACCGCAACCTCCGCCTCCCGGATTCAAGCGATTCTCCTGCCTCAACCTCCTGAGTAGCTGGGATTACGGACGCCTACCACCGCGTCTGGCTAATTTGTGTATTTTTAGTAGTGATAGGGTTTCACCATCTTGGCCAGGCTGGTCTCAATCCTGACCTCATTATCCACCTGCCTTGGCCTCCCAAAGTGCTGGGATTACAGGCATGAGCCACTACGCCTGGTCTTTGGAGGTCTTTTTACGCTTTGCTGACTTAGGTTTCTTCTAAAACTGCACAAGGCCTAGACTAAACATGGCCTCAGCCACGCAGCAAAGCTCAGGGCAGCTGTCATGAGTTACCTGTGATGCAAAGCTGGCTCTGTTTCCTTCCAGAATGGCAAATTCACTTCTCAACTGTTGGTGGCAAGTTTCACCATGAAAACATCCTGAGTACAAAAGTTGTTTCCTCCTGTTGGACTGAGAAGGAAACCAAAGACAGGATAGTTATCTTAACCAAAAACTTACTCAGTTCCTACTTCTAGCCTGACACGTCTGATCTCTGAGGACTGGTGGTTGGGAAGAATGAAAGATGCCTTGTGGTTGCTTCTTTGGGATGGAATAGAGGCTATTTACAGTTTCTTTAGGGCCCAGACCTCTTGTGAGAACAGCCTTGGATATTTGATTTAATTTTTGCAAGAGGAAACCAAACTTTCTGGCAAATAGGAAGCACCGCTGTGTCTGCCCCTTTGCCCCACAGTGTTTGCAGACGTATTGCAGATGGCTTATAAAGGACAGATTTAAAAGGCTGGGCCAGCCCTGCTCTGACTGCACACTGACCACTCTTCCATGACATTTGATGTCAGAGCTGATATGAATGTGTGTCCCGGAGGAAAGGCACTAGGGAGAACATGATGCTATGCAAGGAATGACTTCTTCTGCTCCAGGTCCCCTGCTGGGGCCGGAGGAACCTTCTGCACTGTTGCTGGGCTCCACAATGCTGGCAGCCTGAGTGCTCTCTGTGCCTGCTCTGTTTTGTTTATTTCTGATGTTGCCTTTGAGCTATGTGATCACATTTGTGTATTTTTCCATCCTTTTCTTCTCCTCTTCCTCTTGACTCTGGACCATTGATTCTGGACATTGGGACCTTGCTCTGCCTGCTTCTGTCCCCTGAAACTATGGCCAGAATCTAGTACTTAGAAACTGAGATACCAGGTTCCCAAGTCAAGGTTTCGGTTTCCACATGGAAGCCAACACTGTCAACCAGGACTCATGCAACCGGAGTAAGCAGAGGAGTCCCCGTCCCTGGGGCTGGCCGCAGCTCCGCTTCCACCTGTTGTGCGCTTCTGACGTTTATTGGGGGGCACAATTACTGGATTGCTCACTTTCCCCCCATAGTTTGGAACTGCCACCTCCCACTCTGATGCTTTGTGGATTATCACTCACTAACCAGAATGCTGCCTACTATTGAAACCATTGAGTGTTTGGAAGGGAAGGTCATTGTTTGTAATAAAAGACTGTGGCTGATTGTAGTTACACAGGAAGTCAGCCACAAGCCACAGGCGCACAATACATTGTGAATTCATACAGAATTGTCATCACTAGTGTGGGATCCCACAGACTCCAATCTGTGGACTTGCCTCGTCCTCCCCAAGCAGCAAACAACAGAGGCAATGAGTGTGCTCTGCCTGCTCTGTGTTCCCGATTCATCTGCCCTGCTGCAAGTTGCAGTCTAGCGCGGGACTTGAATACAGAATCCTTGAAGCGTGGTGGCTTGAACTGTAATGTGGCCATGCGTAGCCACAGTCAATATTAAGAGCTTACCTCGGCCAGGCACGGTGGCTCACGCCTGTAATCCCAGCACTTTGGGAGGCCTAGGCGGGCAGATCAGGAGGTCAGGAGAACAAGATCATCCTGGCTAACACGGTGAAACCCCGTCTTACTAAAAATACAGAAAAATTAGCTGGACCTGGTGGCATGTCAGCCCGTCAGTCTCAGCTATTTGGGAGGCTGAGGCAGGAGAATTGCTTGAACCCAGGAGGCGGAGGTTGCAGTGAGTTGAGATCACGCTACTGCACTCCAGCCTGGGTGACAGAGCGAGACTCTGTCTCAAAAAACAAACAAAACAAAGCTCACTTCTGCAGGGCCAGGTTCACTTCTGCAGGCCCACCAGGGAGCTGGGGATGTGGGCCTTATCTTTAAAGGGCCTGCAGTCCAAAGTGGGAGTGGAGGAGACTATGTATATAGCAAAACTTAAATAGAATATAAGCAAACATAAAATAATATAGGACAAATGGGTGGCATGAACTTATCATCGACAAATACCAGAACTGTTTCCCGAAGAGGATAAATTTAGAGCAATGCTTCTCCAAGTGTGGTAGCAGCAGTCCTGGGGAGCTTATTAGAAATGTCAGTTCTCAGGCCCCACCTCAGACCCCTGAATCAGAAACACTAGGGTGGGGCCCAGCGATCTGTGTGCTGACCAGACCTCTCAGTGACTCTGATGCACACTGAAGTTTGACACTCCCTGATTTCAGTGGAGGGAATAACATGAAAGTGTCCATGTTCCATTGGCCACATGCCTTCCTTTTGGAGTAATAACAGCAGCTAGTAATGATGTTTCTGGGTGTTTGCTGTGTACTAGGTACTGTTCTAAGTCTTTTACAGAGCCTTGTGAAGTAGGTTGTGTCATGACCTGCATTATACCAGCTGATAGAAATAGTTGCAGTCTAGAAGGAGACCTGCTCTAGTCTCAGCTCTGCAGCCAGCTCTGCAACTCCAGGCCAGTCAGTTAACCATGCTGTACCTGGGTTTCCATCATTTTTAAATTGGGGTGATAAGACCTGTCTTAGCTGTCTCAGAAGATTTTTATTATAAGGATGATACGATTAAATAGCTATGTCCTTTCAGAAGTTGGAAGTGTTAAATGCTGTTTAAAGAAGTGTGGCATTTCTTATATTGGCTTCCATGACTTGTCCCTTATTAAAGATGGTGTCCGAGTGTCTTGGAGCAGGATTATTTTGGGTTCCTTTTCTGCCACGGGATTTCACTATATAAGACAGAAGAGCCTTTGGAGAAGAAGGAGGGAGTGAAAGAGCAGAGGTCAAGGAAACAAAGCTAGAAGGGGTCTGTTCTGCGGGGAGGTCCTTCCGAAAAGCGATGCCTCCAACCCGGAGCCCCTCACTTAGCCCGGCGTAGCTCAGGGTCTGATAAAGAAGGGCATTGCTCTCTCTCACCAGAACTGTACTACGATCGCGGGAACCACCATGAATTTGTGTCCCTGGTGAAGGACCTGGCCCGGCCTGGAGAGATCACCCAGTCGCAGGCCTTCGACTTTGAATTTACCCACGTGGAGAAGCCGTATGAGTCCTACACGGGGCAGAATGTGAAGCTACGGTAAGTTATGTCTGCTGGTTCCCCACCATGCCCTAGAACCTGCCCCCTGTGGACGAGGACCTGAGGCTGTTCCTTCACAGGGGTCCTGAGAAGGAAGAGTGTTGTGAGCTGGAGCGTGCTGGTAAACCATTAACCGTAGGCCTTCTAGGAGGAAAGTGCCCCTAGTCTGTAGCGTGTGTCAGTTTCTGTAGGGTAAGTAGCCCCACCGCGGCCAACTTGAAGCTACCTAACGTTCCTAAAGGTAGAGGTGGGAGAGATGTGCTGTTATCATTGTCCGGAGACTCATGCCCTCAAGAGCAGAGAGTGTTGTAAAGGGCCGGAAAATAGGAAGTGATGAGATTTTAGCATGTCTTACCTTTGTGTTTAATAGGACTCATTTAATTGTGAGTTTACATAATTTAAATTTAAATAATTGCTGTGTTTAACAGCAGCTCATAAAATTTCTGAAAGTTCAGCAGTCAGCCACCCCCAGCACACTCCTGCTGGCTGGGTGTCAGGAGATCCTGACCTGCTGTCCAGCTCTGCCACACAGCTGCAGTGTCATCTTCAGCTCTGTAACTCAGCTTTCTCACTTCAAAAGTGGGCAATAGATTTGGATTCTAATTCTAGATGTCCTCTTCTTTTGGGGGTGATAAGAAAATAAAATTCTTAAAATGTTGACACATAGGTACATGGATTGTTTTCACTGTTACAGTGTTGGAAACTCTGAGAATAGGGACTGATGCCGAGGTCTCTTGGGTGAAAAGAATCCACAGCAGATGTAGACTGTTAGGTGTAACCTTGAGGTTATGTGATCTACTGGGATAAAGCAGTCTCCCGTGTCGCTCTGAACACCTGATTCCAGGTCTCGATACCATCTCATAAGATCAGCTTGTCTCCTCACCCGAGGACCTGAGTTTAGGATGGTACACACCACAGGAAGACCTTTAACTTCTTTTCTTTCTCTGTCCTCCCTTCTTGCATCAGAAGAGGGAAGGCTCCTTTTAAATCTTTGCAGAGGTGGTGGCTCACGCCTGTAATCCTGGCACTTCGGCCAGGAATTCAACACCAGCCTGGGCAACATTTTGAGACCCCATCTCTACCAGACAAAAATTTTTTAAAATTTTTTTAAAAGAAGAAAACAAATCTTTGCAGAGGGGTGTAAGACTGACGTTACACCCAGTAAAGACAGTGTTTCATAATTGCACCCAGAGAATGCAGCAACAGCGAGGATTATCTACTCATCATTTAAGTTTGACCGAGGGATTTATTATTTAATTTTTTTTTTCTTTTGCAGTCGATTTGTCTTAAGTGTTTGTACGGCAGAAAGAAAGGTGTTGAAAACAGTATAGTGGTGCCTTGAAAAATTAAACAGAATTACCACATGATCTAGCGATTCCATTTTGGATCCACTTCTGGATCCAAAAAATGGAAAACAGGATCTTGAACGGATGTTTGTACACCCACATTCACAGCAGCATTATTCACAATAACCAAAAGGTAGAAACAACCCAAATGTCCATCAGTGGGTGAATGGATAAAGGAAATGTGTTTTGTCCATACAGTGGACTATTACATAGCCTTCAAAAGGAAGGACATTCTGTCCTATGCTACAGCGTGGGTGAACCAAAAGGACATTATGCTGTGGGAAACAAGCCAGTCACAAAAGGACAAATACTGTCTGATTCTGTATATATGAGGTACCCAGAGCAGTCAAATTCATAGAGACAGAAAGTACAAAGGTAGAGGCCCAGGGCTGAGGGGAGGAGGAAATGGGGGCTGGTGTTTAATGAGTAGAGTTTCAGTGGTGGAAGGTGGAAAAGTTCTGGAGACCGATGGTGATGTTTGCACAACAATGTGAATATCATTAATGCCACTGAACTGTATAATTAAAAATGGTTAAAGTGGTAAATTTTATGTTATGGGTATTTTGCCGCAATAAAATAGAAGTGTTAATGTCCAAATCATGTGAAGACTTTAGGATTCATATTGTAAAAGAGAGGAGATAAAGATGGGAAAATTAGTTGAGGACGGTTTAAAGATGTAACTTCCAGATTAAAAGCTTTTTCTTATTACACAGGCAGAGGGAAAACATGAAAAGATTATTGTGGACTTCTTTTTTGTCTTTAGGCAGGGAAAAGGTTATTTTGGAAGATTAGAGTCCATATGTAGCATTTGGTAGATGGGAAAAGTATAGAGACAAAACTATCAGAAGGCTATTGTGAGGTCCTCAAGAGTATGATTTTGGTGGCTGTAATGGGAACAGAGAGAAAGTGGCTGTTCTCACAAGAGGTCTGGGCCCTAAAGAGACTGTAAATAGCCTCTATTCCATCCCAAAGAAGCAACCACAAGGCATCTTTCATTCTTCCCAACCACCAGTCCTCAGAGATCAGACGTGTCAGGCTGGAAGTAGGAACTGAGTAAGTTTTTGGTTAAGATAACTATCCTGTCTTAGGTATTACCAAGAGGTTACCAGTGAGTGGACTCTCTGATTACAGAGATTACCAGTGAGTGGACTCTGATTACAGAGGTTACCAGTGAGTGGACTCTCTGATTACAGAGATTACCAGTGAGTGGAGGCATGCAGATGGAGACAGAGGGTTCTCAGGAGGAAGAAATGATCTGGAGATAAAAAAAAACATCCAGCTCTGAGGGCAGGCTGACGTACTGGCAAAATAGAGAAAAAAAAAAAGTTTACCAGACAATTGGAAGTGCAAACCTGGCACTAAGGAAAAAAAAAACACTTAGAAATGTGCGGTCAGGACTGATCTGCTCAGAGGTCATAACTGATGTGTTTTTGAAGAAAGGGAGCACAGGGAGAGGAGAACCAGGACACACTGGGGGATGGCAGGAGGAGGAGAGGGGGTGAATCAGGGCAGCGCCCCAAAAAAAAAACGGGAAGAGTGTTTCAAGGAAGACGTATTTCACGGGACGCAAAAAAAAAAGCTGCTGGATTTGGCACCTGGGAGGCTATGGGTTACTGACTCAAAAAAAAAAGTTTCTGTTGGGTGGTGGAGACAGAAGCAAGGGGTTGGGAGAAAAAAAAAGTGGAGAAGCCTCAGCCGTTGGTGCAGAACCTGCCTTGTGACAGTTGTCTCTGAAGAAAGAAAGGGAAAGTGTGGTAGGTCAAGAGGGTAAGAAAAAAAAAAGGTTCTTGGGATTGGTGACTTTGGAAATCAATTTTTTCAATCAAAAAAAAAGACAAAACCTTTAGCTAGAGGGAGATTGATGATCTTGGGGAAAAAAAAAAATGTAGAAGGATCCAGATGCTGGACCAAGGCTTCCACATTAGAAAAAAAAAAGGGAAGCTTTTCAAAATGCGAATGCCTGTGTCCCTTTCCAGGAAAAAAAAATATCAGGTGTGCCCAGGCAGCAGGATTCTTAAAGCTCTCCTTTCCTGATTTCACTGTGCATCCACATGGAGAGTTCCTGTGACGGAGTGGGGAAAAAAAAAATTGAGAGGGAGAGGTGCTGTTGGAGAGAGGATGGGTGAAGATAAAAAAAAATGTTTAGGCCCTAAGTGAGGAACAAAGCAGAAAAAGGAGCACAAAAAAAAACTTGACTGGGAAGGCCTTCAAATTCTTAGTGGAGTAAAGGTCAAAAAAAAACCAGACAGCGGGATGGGGAGTCTCAGGAGCCTGAGCAGTTAGAAAAAAAAAAGGAAGAGATGTCTTAGGCAGTGTGATAGAGGTTACTGAGGTAAAAAAAAAGGATCCCCAAGAAGCAGCCAGTGCCACACAGCAGATAGTAGCAAAAAAAAATAGTTGGTCTGGTTAGGATATCTTTATAACTTTATCTGGTAAAAAAAAAAAGATGGTGGGGATTATCTAAGTTTTATTTAAAATAAAATACAAAAAAAAAAATTACATTAGATTATATTAAAATAATGTTTTATGGAGAAGGAAAAAAAAAAAAAGAGCTCCTCCTCATTGAGTGTTAGCACAGGTGCTGGAAATGAGAGTGCTGCACTGGCGGGCCACAGAGGGCAGCTTGTTAAACCCTTCAGGACTGCGTCTCTGTCTTCTCTCTCATCCCCTCCACAGCAACGTCCTCCCCCAAAAAAAAAAGTTCAGCCAGAGACTTGTTATTCAGCAGACCAGGTCCTCTCTAAAAAAAAAGCATATAAGGTTTGCTCTTCTGGATTGCCCTTTTCTCCCTCCAAAAAAAAATGGATCACAGCATCTCAATTAGCCCTTTCCATGTGTTCCCATAAAAAAAAATGCCCGTCTGCCCTCTGTGAACTGTGAGCTTCCCATCAGACTAAAAAAAAACCTGTGCTTAGCCCAGTGCTTAGCTCAATAAATGTTTGCAGAAAAAAAAAATGACTTAATTTCTCTCTTTCCTAGTCCCCTCTTTTAATTTAAAAAAAAAAAACTGGGACACTTTAAAAAGGTTTATTGATTGAATATTGTTCAAAAAAAAAACATGCAAAGATAAAAATACGAGACAGCCTCCTTTGCCCCAAAAAAAAAAAATTAGATGATGAAATAAAACATGTACACAAATACATGGTCAGTAAAAAAAAAGGCCATGAAAGGCCCAAGAATAGCAAGTGATTGGGGTACAAGGCAGAGAAATCACTTTCCCTTACAGCAAGATTCTTGACCTGGGGACATGGGCTCCGTAAAGGGATTTGGGGGAAGGGTCTTTGAACTCCCTAGAATTGTGGTTGAAAAGTTCTCTGTATAGGTACATATGTGTAGCTTTCCCTGGAAGAGGGTAAAAAAAAACTTAAAGGGATACAAGGCCCTCAAGGGTTAAGAACCTTTGTACAGGCTTCTCTCAAGTGGGCCAATTTGGTACCTATATCTAGGTAGCATCTAAAAAAAAAAAGTGTTGATTCATGACGGTTCCATCTCCTACAGCTATTTCCTAAAAAAAAACATCAGCCGCCGCCTCAATGATGTTGTCAAAGAGATGGACATTGTAGTTCACACACTCAGCACATACCCGGAGCTGAACTCTTCCATCAAGATAAAAAAAAAGATCGAGGACTGTCTGCACATTGAATTTGAGTACAATAAATCCAAGTAAGTGTCTCAGTGCCAAGGTTGTGAAATGATTATTTAAGGAGGTTAAAAAAAAAATTGATCCAAATGCAAACTGATGGCACTCCGTGACTCGACTCCAAAAAAAAAGCATGCGGTGGGGGAAGACTGTGGGAGCAATCCAGTGAGTGTATGTGGCAGGCTAGCTGCAGCTGGACCGACCACGACGTAAACACTTCATTTAAAAAAAAAAAACTATATTCAACTAAGGTGGTGCATTTAAGTCAAACATCCAAAAAAAAATCTCAAAGTCAAGCTAAACTAAACTAACTTGAGGTTGTTTTGAAAAAAAAACTTCAGCTGTTTCCTGCTACTGATAAGAACAATCTCAGAATAAAAAAAAAATATCATGTGTTCCCTCCATCTATGTCTTCAGAAATCAAAGCGAGGAAACCAAAGTTTGGCCATGATTTGCTGCTTCCTCCCTGAACTGAAATGAAAAAAAAAAAAGAATATTGGATTTTTTTTTTTCAAGATGGGGTCTTGCTTAAAAAAAAAGCCTGGGGTGCAGTGGCACAGTCATGGCTTACTGCAGCCTTGAAAAAAAAAACTCAAGCATTTCTCCCACCTCCACCCCTACAAGTAGCTAGGAAAAAAAAAATGCACCACCACACCCAGCTAATTTGTGTCCGTGTGTGTGTGAAAAAAAAAGTGTAGATCTAAGGTTTTGTAATGTTTCCCAGGCTGGTCTTGAAAAAAAAAACTTAAGTGATCTGCCTGCCTTGGCTTCCCAAAGTGCTGGGAAAAAAAAAATGAGCCACCATGCCCAGCCCTGATGTATTTTTTATAAAGGTCAAAAAAAAACTTTATTTTAACTGGCAAGTTGGGAAGATGTGTATCTTGTAAAAAAAAAAAACTGTTAAAACATCAAAATAATTGGTTGTAAATAAATCACAAAAAAAAAAAACAGCATATTTCAAAAGCATCTTTCTTTTGAATAGGATATGCCTGAAAATGTTTGGAACTCAAATATCCAAAAGTAAAAAGGGTATTCTATTCAAAAAAAAATATAAAAAAAAAAAGCCACAAAGTCGCCAGACGCAGTGGCTCACGCCTACAATCCCAGCACTTTGGGAGGCCGAGGCGGGCGGATCACGAGGTAAAAAAAAAGAGACCATCCTGGCTAACATGGTGAAACCCCGTCTCTACTAAAAAAAAAAAAAATTAGCCGGGCGTGGTGGCGGGCGCCTGTAGTCCCAGCTAAAAAAAAAATGAGGCAGGAGAATGGCATGAACCCGGGAGGCAGAGCTCACAAAAAAAAAAGATGGCACCACTGCACTCCAGCCTGGGTGACATAACGAGACTAAAAAAAAAACAAAACAAAACAAAAGCCACAAAGTTTCTAAGTAGGATTTTAAAAAAAAAATCCCCTGGATCCACTGTCATCCGGAGGCTGGGAGCAGTGGGAAAAAAAAAAGATGGCTCACCTTTGAAGGGTCAGGAACAGAACTTTTTAAAAAAAAAAAAACGTGTGGTTCTTGGAACAGGGTTGAAGGAATGGTGTTTTTTAAAAAAAAAGCAGGCCTGGCACCTAGAGGGCCCCAGGAAAATGACCAGTGTGACCCAGAATTGGCTCTGCCTGGCCTAAGCCCACCAGTGAACAGAGAGTGGGGCAAGGTGGGAGGGAGGCTAATCTGGGCCTGGCATGGGAACAGGCTCTTCAAAAAAAAACTCACAGCCTCAGGGCTCTGTGGTTCTGCCCAGAAAGGAGCCAAAAAAAAAGCCTACCCACTCCTGCCCTGGCCACCTGGTGAAGGCAGAGGCAAAAAAAAATGCCACCTGTAGGAGCTCAAAGCAGCCACTGGTCAGCAGTGCAGGCCAGACCAAAGCTGGTGTGGAAAAGGTGCTCTAGAGAGGCAGGGACGGAAAAAAAAAAGACCACACCTCTCCTCGCACCGCGGGCTGCTCTGTGTGCAGAAAAAAAAATCTATGTCAGAGAACCCCAGACTCGGAACCAGGTCCTGTTCTAAAAAAAAAAAGTTGGGCTGAGGTTAGCAGGTACTAACATTTTCTACCTCGAAAAAAAAACTGTAAAAGGATGGAGGAGCTTGGACCAGGTCAGTGGGTTTCAAAAAAAAAGAAAGTGTGAGGTGGCAGAGGAGCCGGGGTCTTAGATCCTCCAAAAAAAAACTTTTCTTCCATCCACAAGCAGCATTTTTGTTGTTTTTTTAAAAAAAAAAACTTATACCTGGAGCAGCTTTTGCTTTCATATAACATTTAGAAAAAAAAAAAGTGTGATTTGTAGGAGTTTGAAAACATCTCGAATCCATGGTCAAAAAAAAACCCCTGTAAGATGGCACAGGTGTTCTCCTGCTGCTTTTGCAAAAAAAAAAAGACTGTTTGCTCAGGTGTCTGCAATCTTCCTGTAGACTGTGCAAAAAAAAATGGTGTGAAACAGTGGGGAACACAGAAGGGTGGTGTGAAACAAAAAAAAAAACTCCAGCCTGGGGACTAGGATCCTGGGTTTACCACCTTTCTAAAAAAAAAACTCACATCCTGGTTATCCAAGAGAAATGATCTCTTTTCTTCAAAAAAAAATTTCTTCACCTGTAATATAAGGAGGCTGAATTCTGATGTCTGAAAAAAAAATCTTATCCTGTGAGCTGAGCATCAGGTTTTGAGATTTTACTCTCTCTCTCTCATGCCTGATACAGGCTGTGCACATGTAGACTATTGACTGACAAAAAAAAAAAAGCTTGAAGGTCAGGAAGTGCTACCCAATGTGGTTCAGTTCGTAACAGCCCACAAGGCTGGGCCGGCAGAGCCCAGAAAGCAGGCGCTGATAAAAAAAAAGATTTGCTCTTCTTGCTGTACTGCTGCTGCCTGGCCTGTTGGAAAAAAAAAGACAGAACCGTGTGCTTTGAGCCATCCAGGCCCAGTTCCCCAAAGACATTGTGTGGAGATCAGAGGCGCGGAGAGACTGGCCCCTGCACTTGCAAAAAAAAACTCTCATAAATTAGGATATCTTTCAAAAACACAAATGTAAAAAAAAAAAAAGCAGCTGCATGCTGGGGAGATAGAGCAGATGAACAGACATGAAAAAAAAAAATGCCGGAGAGACGTCCTTTGCGTGGGATGTGGAAGGGACAGAAGCTACTTTAATCCAAGTGAAGACCACACTGGGAACCCGTTCAGCCACAGAAAAAAAAACAGTGATGGGTGAGCGTGTCCTGGAACTGGACCTTTAACCAGCACGCTTGGCCGTGGCGTGTGCGCTCTGCTGAAACGGAAAGGTCCGGCCACAAAAAAAAAATCTTCCTGTACTTTCTGTTCCCCAGATACCACTTGAAAGATAAAAAAAAAGGGAAGATATACTTCCTGCTGGTGAGAATCAAAATCAAGCACAAAAAAAAAGACATCATCAAGCGAGAAACGACGGGTACAGGCCCCAACGTGAAAAAAAAAAACGACACGATAGCCAAGTACGAGATCATGGACGGGGCACCAGTGCGAGGTGAGACTCCAAGCCCAGGCCTCGGCCACCACAGCTTTTCTCCCAAAAAAAAAACAGAATTCTGAAGGGGCTTAGGGGATTACACTGTCGAAGTAAAAAAAAAACTTAACCTGTAACTTATTAATCTCCCAGTTTACACCGTGGGTAAAAAAAAAGAAGAAAAGGAAGGCTGAGTATGTAGAACTTCAGGCTACTATCCCATCTTCACCCTGAAAAGTTCCACTTAGACTTGGATAATATATTGGGCTAAAAAAAAAGATTGAACCTCAAGCGTCGCTTTGGAAAGTCCAGGTTGAGCAAAAAAAAAATGAACAGGTTTCTACTTCTTCCTGTTGACATTCTGGCATTCTAAAAAAAAACGGAGCAAGGGATGCCTGCACAGCAGCCGTCTGTGACTCGGTAAAAAAAAAGATTTATTCTCTGAATTCACTTGTCAGGTAGAAAGAGCATTAAAAAAAAAATCAGCCAACACCACCAGGTGCCCAGATAGCCCTGGAACTTGCTGGAAGCGTCCTCTCCCAGTCCCAGGGAGCTAACGTTACATCTGGGATAGTAAAAAAAAAAGCCCTTTGTCATTTGGGGACCATGATTATCTGGAAGAAGCAAAAAAAAAAATTCTTCATTGGCTTTTTAGCCATTCTTCAGGAATGGTGAAGACTGTCTTCATTTCGAAGTGCGTGGTGCTTCCAGGGTTTTATTTGGCTTATAAAAAAAAATCCCACAGGCTGTTCTATGAGGAAGGAGGAGTGCCACAGATTTAGCTGCCTGCAGCTCTGGGGACACTCGGGTGTTACCATGCCAGGCCCTTGGAGGGCTGGGACCAAGCTCTCCTGACATTCTCTGATGTCCCATTTTGTCACAAAAAAAAAAAATAGAGCCAGCTGTCATTTTTCCTGTACAAATGAAATGGGAAAAAAAAAATCCATGTAAAACAGCAGATAATTATAAGATGGCTTATATTTAGCTTTAGACCACATTATAGGTTTGGCCTTTCTTGGTAGAATTACCGCCCTAAAAAAAAAGCACTGATACTAGAAAAGGCCTGATGTTAGAGCTGGAAGGGATCTATAGTATCATGCCGTCCGATTCTCTAATTTTTCACATGAGAAAACGAAAAAAAAAAAGAAGCAGCAGACTTAACTCACAAATCAGAAAAGCAGTTCATGCAGAACTGAGGCCGTAGTGAGGACGTTCTGCTTTCCAGACCACCCTGCCACAAAAAAAAACCCCACACGAGGGAGGATGTACTTTGGGGGGTATACACTGAGAAAAAAAAAAGATGGCATCAGAAGTGCTGGGTGAAATGGTGACTTAACTGGAAAAAAAAAGCTGCCTTTTGAAAACCCAAAAACTAAACATACTGCATGTAAAAAAAAAAAGCTTATACTGATAATACCCCTGTGCTGTTCCCACTCAGCTGCAAAAAAAAATGGAGGAGACATAAGAAGCTGCAACATGACCTGGAGTGAAATTGGAAAGTCACGTTTTTGTTTCAGCCCCCTGCTGGGCAGCAGAGCGAGTGCACCTTCCCAGAAGGCAGAGTGCTCCGTGCTGCACTCCAGTGGCATCTCTGCAGGGGTCAGAGTGACCTGGCATAAGGGAGAGTGCGTCACCTTGCCCACTGTGCTGACTCCTGCCTTCCTCCTGCAGGGGAGTCCATCCCGATCCGGCTCTTCAAAAAAAAATATGAGCTCACGCCCACCATGCGGGACATCAACAAGAAGTTCTCTGTGCGCTATTACCTCAACCTGGTGCTGATAGACGAGGAGGAGCGGCGCAAAAAAAAACAGCAGGTGAGGGCCAGGCTCCTCCTCCAGGCCCCGATGCCCAAAAAAAAAAACAGGAGGCTGTCTTTCCTTTGGAAGGTCAGGCGCCATTTTAAAAAAAAAGTGGGAACATCAGGTCGCCCACAATTGCACAAGGATGAGGATAAAAAAAAAGCATTAGAGTCTGCTTCCTCGGGCCTGCTCCTGCAACCACCTAAAAAAAAAGCCCACACCAGGGGCAGGGAGGTGCTGGCAGCTGCTGCCTTTAAAAAAAAAGAAGCAGAGGAGGTCCTTACCCATGATTCCCCAGGACAAAGCAAAAAAAAACTGGGAACCTGTCCCCATGCCTTCCTCTAAGGTGTCGCGCTGAAAAAAAAAAATTCTGCAGGAAGTGGTGTTGTGGCGGAAGGGTGACATCGTACGGAAGAGCATGTCCCACCAGGCGGCCATCGCCTCACAGCGCTTCGAGGGAAAAAAAAACCTGGGTGATGTGCGGACCCCCAGCCAACTGTCTGACAACAACTGCAGGCAGTAGAGGCCCCCAGGGCCAAGAAGATGCTGGGCGTCCACCCAGCACCCCCACCTACCAACACTGGCGGCTGGGGGCGGGGGCGGACCTTGTGAAAAAAAAAAGACCCGTTACTTGCAACCTGAAAACAAATCATGTTTTTGACTAAAAAAAAATTTTCTGGAGAATCCAAGGGGCTTGGGGTGGGAAGCAGTCTCAAAAAAAAATTCTGTGACCGACGTGGGATAGGAGAGGTAGCATCCTGGAAGAAAAAAAAACTGGGGAACACGAGCCCCTTCCTCGCGGGGCTGCCTTGCGTCTTAGAGGAGGGAGAGCAGAGAGCACAGAGCACGCATCCTTGGCTCCTGGCGAAAAAAAAATCCTGATACAGGATCTGAGCATGTCCCTGGGATTCTGAGCTGAAAAAAAAACCCTGGGTGGTCACCTCTTGTACTCCCCTCTACTGTCCCTGAGGTAGTGGCAGGAGTTGGGCCAGCCCCCACTAAATGGCAGGGGGAAGACTCAAAAAAAAAAAGCTACCTCTTTGGGAATCTTGGATGTGGTGATCTGAAGTTCCCACAGGCCACCTCCTTCCGGCCACTCACTGCTGGGACCCAGGCACCTCCAAAAAAAAACCTCTCTGGATTGTCAGTAATGTCCTGGAACAGAAGCCTGTGAAAAAAAAATGGGAACAGAGAAGCCCTGGGGTCAGTGTGGTGCATGGATGGAAAAAAAAATGAACCCAGGAGGCTGAACCCAGCCACCAAGAAAGATCAGTGCATGGCAACTGCCTGCCTTCACGTCACTCCACTCGGTAACCCCAAGGTCTGAAAAAAAAAAGGTATTACTCCATGTGCCCCAACAAGCCCTTAACAAGAGGGCCTGTTTCCCTTAAGAAGCAATCCCAGGAAGGGGCCTTGATCCCTCCGCCTAAAAAAAAAGGAACCCTCGTCTCTCCTCACCCTCCATTTCATTTCTGGAAAAAAAAAAAAAGTTTCAAACCATTGGCAAGGCTGTTCTTGCTAATGCCCAAGAAAAAAAAACCCTCTCCCTATAGGTTGCACAGGGGAGACCAGGGCCTCGGCAAAAAAAAACTGCCACACTTCCGGATCATTCTGCTTGCCAAATATGTCATCAAAAAAAAATGACTGACCCAAGTTTAGGACCATTGGTATTGTGTGTTTAAAAAAAAAAAAATAAAAAACTCTTGTGAGTATTCTAGTTATGCTAGAGAGGAAGGCACTTCTCCCTCTATGGCTCTGCGCCGGGGCCTATGGTAGCAAAGTTGTTTAGTGTCCTTTTTCTGCTTCCCCTGGAAATGACAGGCATTACTCTCCTATAAAAAAAAATTCCCTTTATAGAAAGACCAAGCAGGTCCCACTGGCCAACAGAAAAAAAAATTGGTGGTCGGAGTTCTCAGTAATTTGGAAAGTTTAGGAGTTAAAAAAAAAGTCACCTTTCAGTTAGTGTGGGAAAGGAAGACTCCTGTTTTCAAAAAAAAAGTGCAGTCTCAGGCCTTTGACAGGGCTCATGGATCAGAGCTGAAAAAAAAAGGAGAGGCATTTGGGGTAGCCTGGGAGGGTGACTGGGGGCAGAAAAAAAAAGGAAGGCAAGCTTGTTTCCCCCATGCTGGGTCCTGTGTTCAGGTGCGACGCACAATCCTCATGGGAACAGGACCACCCATGCGCTGCCCTTGATGATCAAGGTTGGGGCTTAAGTGGGTGAGGGAGGCAGGTTCTGGGTTCCTTAAAAAAAAAGAGCATGAGGTCAGGCTCTGTATGCCTCCTTTTCCTAGCTGAAAAAAAAAATAGAAGCGTTTGTCAATTCCTTTGCCTCCCAACTGACAACACAAAAAAAAATTCCAACCTTCCTAACATCTTAAACCTTTCTTCTGGGAGAACAAAAAAAAAGAATTTGCTTTGATTCTCTCAGGCGCTGTGCACAAGCCAGGTAAAAAAAAATCTCTTACTCTACCCACAGTCTTGCCTTCTCTATCCAACTGTAAAAAAAAAGGGAGGCTCCTGTCCCCCTCTCTTAAGGTCCCCAAACCTGGGAAAAAAAAAGTACTAAATCAAGCAGTGCAACTTGTAATTAAGCAGCTGCAGAAAAAAAAAGTTTCTTAATGTGTCATCTTTTCAATGGCTGTATTTTAAAAGAAAAAAAAATGTTTTAATGGTCTTTCTGATTAAAGGAAGCCCCTGTGGCTTAAAAAAAAATGTGCCCATGGTCCACCAAGCTCTGTGGTCTCTTCCGTCTTACACGGTCCCATCTCTGACACTCGGGGAAAGACAAATCCCCGCCCTGATTTCCCTGCATAGTGCCTGTGCTCTCCCTGTATAGCTCCTGGTGGAAAATGATGAAAAAAAAAATAGCCACCTGTTTGAGACAAGCATATGGCTGAGAAATGAATTAAAAAAAAATCCCTATCTGGCAATTTACCTAGAACTGCTCATGGGATGGTTAAAAAAAAAGTGGGAGCCAGATGATGTAAGGGGCAGGTGAGCAAGGCTGGTGGAGAAAGAAAAGTTCATTCCAGTGGGTGTTACCAGACTGAGGGTCTCAGCAAAAAAAAATGCAATTTGCTACAGAACTACTAGTGATCGTGAAGAAAGATGAAAAAAAAAGCCTTGCATCTTGGAGCGGCCAGAGAGGAGCCCACCTGGAGGTAAGAGGTCTGCAGCGGGGGGATATCCCACTGCACTCAGTGTGGTTTTAGAAAAAAAAAATTTCAACTTTGATATTATTTTATTGAAAAAAGTACACAAAAAAAAAAAAAATACACAAGCCCAGGTGAGCATAACAAGCAAGCCCCCCCCGCAAAAAAAAAATTTTGTCTTGGAGTAATTTCTTGCCCATTCTAGCAGTAATATAAAAAAAAACTTGGTTCCTTTTCCTCCAGGCTCAAAACAAAATCAAACTCTAAAAAAAAAAAAAAAGGAAAAAGGAAGAATTAGGTATTAATGTCTCCTCTTAAAAAAAAAAGCTGTGCCAGGCACAGGTACATTTTACGTGGTGCTAAGGCGAAAAAAAAATCGTTCAAAACTATTTACCAGGTGCCAAGCACTGTAGAGTACAAAAAAAAACTAATAGGTAACTCAGGCCACATTCCCTCCCTCATGGATATTAAAAAAAAAGATGCTGACAGAAAGGTGAAGTACCATGCCCAAGTTTCATCAAAAAAAAAATGGGAATTCATGAGGTCATTCTGGTATACGGACGATATAGGAAAAAAAAAACTCTTACCTTGGGTCAGGGGTTGGATTGATAATCTCTGGCGAAAAAAAAAAGTCATATTTTTTAAGGGGCCACCAGTAGCTTTGTGAGCTTGATGATAGGATTTTAGCTCAGCCAGGGGAATGAAACGCTTCATCATCCGAACAAAAAAAAAATCCACCTATGTGACAATAGTGTACATGATAGAAAGATGTGTCAAAAAAAAATCTGCCCACTGTATTTTTAACCGCCTGCAGGAAGCTCCTATCAAAAAAAAATCACCTCATCTGAGTAAGTGCCAGGCTGTGTACCTTGACCTAAAAAAAAAACAACCGTCTTCCTCCCCTTGTTCATCCTTCCCCTGTCATGAAAAAAAAAAAAGAGTCTTTACCATGGACCACTTAGGGTTGTCCTCTTTGCTAGATGGGTCATAATGGGGATTGTTTTTCTCAAACTGTGTGTGGTCTGGGTAAAAAAAAAAAACGATCTGAAACCAAAACAAAAGTTTTGAATCATTTGCCTGCAAAAAAAAACACAGCCAATCTTTAATCCATATCCAACTTTCATTTCTTACCCTGAACATTCTTACCCCATCTGCCTTGCTGTAGAGCCAATGGGGGCTCAGAAAAAAAAAAATAATATAAAGTCTAATATATAGACTAGGAAATCAACTCTGTAAAAAAAAAAATCTTAAAAGTGTGCTCTCAAAACAAATGGCAAAGGTGATTAAAAAAAAAACTGTTTTTTTCCCACCTGCACAGTTAGTAATTTTATCCTGAAAAAAAAAAAGGAGCTACTATCAGGCCTGTTTTCAAGTGAGATCAAGACTTAGAGGTGGAGTGAAGTCTGCTGGTGGGACCTGAAATGAAGGCCTGCTTTGTAAAAAAAAATTGTCATATAGGGACGGGCCAGGGCAGTTTTTCCGTACTCCTAAAAAAAAAGGATGGGGTAGGGGGGAGTGTACTTTTTTGTTACCTAATTAAAAAAAAAAACTTTATATCTACTTAAGTTAGTCTCCCTGGAGGGAAAGGGATAAAAAAAAAAACCTGTCCAACTAACCTTCATAAGTCCTGCGATGCCTGGCTAAAAAAAAATGCTATGGTAGAAGAAGGCTTCTTCTCCTAGCTTCATGGCTCTAAGGAAGTTCCGAGCCTGTCTCAGGGGAGAAGAAAGAGTAACTATCCTCCAAAAAAAAAGAAAGGTCTAGCTTTTAGCAGACATCAAGTCTGCTTTTAATAGATGGGTTTTTCTTGTTTGCACTTCTCAATTCATTAGAAAGTCCTTCTCCTTTGCCAGGACACCCAGACTTTTACCAGGACACTGGCCAGAACACAGGCAAAAAAAAAAAATCATGCGGCACACTTAAGGCATTTTTAAATACATTATCAGGTAAAAAAAAAAAAAAGGCAACCTTGGCCAAGAGGTTCTGCTACTGAGTAAGTCATGAGGAGGAGGCAGGCATTTATCCCACCTGGGTCTCAGGGAACCTCCTCCTTACCCTCTTACCTGGTAGTTACGAACACCATCCCAGCATGTTGTCTGTTTGGGCTGTGCTTTGAGATCCTCAATGCTGAACTAGGCAAGAGAAAATAAAGAAAAAAAAAAAACAATCCTTGGCCAGTTAGTTAGCATATATGGAAGCAGACAAAAAAAAACCCAACAGTGAGAGGGGCCACTGGCTATAGAGGAAATATGTAAAAAAAAAAGAAGTGGCTCCACAGAGACACTTTTGTTGGGTGAATAAGTAAAAAAAAAAATACCTTGTTATCCTTGCTAATTATGAGGATTAGCTGAATGGAAAAAAAAAATGATAAAGTAATCTGCTGGATACTTGCATTTCACTTTATATTTCTTCTATAATATTTCTGCTTATATTTTTCCCAGGCTATATTAAATTCCCTAAAAAAAAAATCAGCTGTTGGCAGGGAGACACCTAGGAGCATGGCAGGTGGTCAGAGAAAGGTAACCTAAGATTGAGGTTGGCAAACTACAGCCTTCAGGGCAAAAAAAAACCCATGCTGGATTTTGTTAATACAGTTGAACTTTAACACAACAAAAAAAAATTATGTATTATCTCTGGCCACTCTCTTGCTACAAGGGCAGGGAAAAAAAAAAGACTAACACGCACAAGCCTACGAAATTTACTATCTGGCCCTAAAAAAAAAAAGTTAGCCAACCCCTGCCCTAGACAGGTTCATAAACCAGTTAAAAAAAAAAAACTCTGCCGATTTTATTCATTTTTACCTTTTTCCTACCCTAAAAAAAAAAGCTGGGGATGGAACCCCATTTAAAAACCACCATGAAGGGACTGGAGACAGGTCAAGGATCTCACCTTCACATCTACACCTTTCTCTAGTCGGCTCTCTGGCTCTGACTTCATCAGCCAGTGGCTGCTTAGATTCTTCACACAGTTTTTAGTGGCTGAAGTCTTCTGAGGGTTGGAGTCCTCCACTTCAGCTAATAAAAAAAAAGAGTGCTCAGTTTTGGTGCGTTTTCCTGAGAGTCCCTTGTCTAAAAAAAAAGAAGCAAAAGAAAAGATCATGCTTCTTAGAGGCAATGTTTCAAAAAAAAAAAAGCTTACGCTTTGGAGTCAGGCCTGGATTCAAATCATGGATCCATTACCAGCTGCAGGACCTTAATCTTACCATTAAGAAGCTTTCCTTATCAAAAAAAAATAGACAAGAATACCTGCCTTACAGGATATCTTCTGGGTTATGAAAAAAAAAGGATAAGAACACCTTACAGGGCTGTTCAGGATTAAAGGTCCTGGCAGTAGTCAATGTTTTCCTTTCCTCACTCTCTCTGCTATGCCTTTGCATAAAAAAAAAGAAACTAAGCACCTACTTGCAACTATTTTGAAGCTTAAATGAAAAAAAAAAAAAGGCCGAGACAATGCCTGGCATTACAATAAATGCTCAATAAAAAAAAAATTATTCTCATCTCATGCTTCTTCCCCTCTTGCTCACTGTGGCAAAAAAAAAGTCTCCTTTCTGCCCCTTGAAGGTGCCAATAACAGTTGAAAGAAAAAAAAAATTCAGGACATTGTAGAAATGGTGATGATTCGATTTCATCCCAAAAAAAAAAGAATGTGCCTGGAACACAGTAGGCATTCAGTAGCTAAGTTTAAAAAAAAAATGACAGGGCCCAAGGTCTGTGTGTTACCCTAACCTTAACTCAAAAAAAAAACATAACCTGTGAGATGTTGTACTCTTCATCTGGGAAGCATGCTCCAGATCACACATCCAGTAATGGCGGAGTCAAGATATGAGGTCAGCACCTGTCACTGAGGTCTGTCTGAAGCTACTGAATAACTATACTGCCTCTGAATTAAAAAAAAATCCCTACATCAATTGTCATTAAATATTATTTATGGATATCTAAAAAAAAAAATCCAGTATACCTTCCTAACCTAGTTTCCTGATGGCCCCTTAAAAAAAAAAAGGCACACTGCAAACACCACATATTGATACATAACTGCAATGAAAAAAAAAGTATCTGGAACCCCTGTCATTACCAAAAGAGGTACTTCCTGCAAAAAAAAATGTTCCTCCTCCTCCATCCACTTAGAGTGCCATCCATCTTTGAAAAAAAAAAAACGACCTCACGTTTTCTTAGTACTAAACTTTGCCCATGGAAAAAAAAAAATTCTTCAGGGCTGGGCTCAAATTACACGTCCTTCTCGAGGCAAAAAAAAAATTCCTCCCTCCACAACCGTAGCAATCCATTCCCCTGAACCCAAAAAAAAATGCAGTTTACCCGCCACCAGGGGATTTCTGTTCTTTAGCACGAAAAAAAAAATCGCAAACAGTCTTTGTGCGTCACAACCATTGCCTGAATAAAAAAAAAAAAGTAACTCTTAAGTAGGAGCTTGGTGAGACACGTAAAGAAGAAAAAAAAAAATTAAGGATGAGTTAATAAAAAATCACAAAGGGTTCTCTCAAAAAAAAAAAAGTGAAAAATGAAGAGTATTAAACACGTTCTTCGAGAAACGTAAAAAAAAAAGCTGCCTCTGTGCAGCCTGGGGGCAGCTCACCTGAACCAGAAGTCCCAGCCAGCCTCTTCCGAGGTCTCGACATGGTCACCCTGCAGGGGACTGAAGTGCGGAAGATTCTGGAATCAACGGAGATACAAGAAAGAATCTAATGAAAAAAAAAACCCGCACAGAGCGAGATGGGGGCAACGAGAGGCAGCCTAGAAAAAAAAAAACTTTTGCGAAACACAGACACTGTGTTGAGCCCCTCAAATCCTTCCCTCCGTTATCTGCGCCATTTCCGTCTCGCATAACCTGCCCCTAAACTAAAAAAAAATCTTTGCTTGGTCCTCATCCAGGGACCCCTCTCTCAGTTCCAGTTCACTGGGAAGTGGCTCCACAGAGACACTTCTGTTGGGTGAATGTAAGTAAAAAAAAAGTTACCTTGTTATCCTTGCTAATTATGAGGAGCAACTGAACGAAAAAAAAAGATGATAAAGTAATCTACCGGCTACAAACCCACCACTCTGCAAAAAAAAAAGCGGTCCGCCTCCCCCGCGCCGGAGGCTGTGCAGCGTAACCCCGCGGCGCTAGGTGGGCGGTGCGACTCTGCGGCGCCGAGGCCCCGAGGACTTCTGGGAATTGTAGTCGTGGCCCCCTTTGGAGCCCACCTCGCACGTGGGTTGTCAGGGCTCGTGGGAGGACTACAACCCCCAGGGTGCAGTGGGGCAGACGAAAAAAAAAAGCAAGCACAGCTAGTGAGAGCGCAGGGGAGGTCGGAGGCTTTCAGGCCTTTAGCTGAACGCGAAGCTGCAGTGACGATGTTGGGCACAGGCTGAAAAAAAAACGGGGCGAGCCTCGGCTGCCTGCCCGGCGGTCTCCGGGCCCTAAAAAAAAACGGCCACCGGAGCTTGAGCTCATGCATCGACCGTAAGGATCTAAAAAAAAAGCAGGAGGACAGGTGTCCAGAGCCCTGGCGGACATATGTCCGAAAAAAAAAGCAGTCTCCCCGCTCCATCCAGTCCGCCCGGCGTCAGCTCCCAAAAAAAAAAGTCACTCCCCCGGCCTGGCTCTCTACTCCGGCCGCTCACCCAAAAAAAAACTCCCAGCTCCGACCCGTCACCGCCGGCCCGTCTTCCCACTCAAAAAAAAAACCCCCGCCGGGCTGCCCCCTCCGGTCGGTCACCACCATCCAAAAAAAAAACTGCTCCGTCACCCCCGCCCGGACCCCCCTCCGGCCCGTCACAAAAAAAAAGACCCCCCTCCGGCCCGTCACCCCCGCCCGGGCCCCCCTCCGAAAAAAAAACCCCGCCCGGGTTCCTCTCCGGCCGGTCACCCCCGCCCGGGTAAAAAAAAAGCCGGTCACCCTCGGGTGCTTAGAGAAATGAAGAAACTTGGGACTTTGTTGTTGTTGTTGGGCTCGTTGGTTTTTAAATTCATAACAGTGGGTCATAAAGGTAGTGAGAATGTAAGAAGCTGGCTGGGTACTGATGGTGGCAGCAAAAAAAAAGTTCCAGGTCATACAAGATTTGCTCACACACAAAGATGTGGTAAAAAAAAACCTCTGGCTATAAGACACTTTTAGTGTTGAAACTCATGCAGGAAAAAAAAATATTACTGCAAGTGAGAGACTCTACCGGAGCCGACAAACTTGAAAAAAAAAAGGCTCTAAACAATAATGTGAATGTAACAAGGAGTGGTGGAGACCCGGCCAGTTTGTGACTTCTCTGCCAAGCACCTTTATAAACACTTTTTTAAAAAAAAATATTTTTAATTTATTTTAAATAAATGACAATTTTCCTTACAAAAAAAAAAATCCCTTAGACATCAGATCTATAAAGTACAGTAAGGCATAGAATACTGTTTTCTTCTCCATGTCTTAAAATTCATTCAAGAGGTGCTGCCCTGTCCTAGCACTTAGAATTTGATAACTAAGATTACCCTGATTGATACCAAAGCAGATAAGGAATTATTTAGAGGTGGGTTTTGTTGTTTCCATCTTGCTTACACTAAAAAAAAACTGCAGTAAAAGGCTTTTCCCATTTCATTTGGACTGTTTTTCAAAAAAAAATTACCTCTTTAGTATGTATGTATTGGCATCTTGAACTCTGCTAAAAAAAAACAAAGTTCATGAATGGTGGTATTTGTTTTGTTTTTATAGTGTAAAAAAAAATGGGAACTTAGGTAGTTATGTCGTGTTTACTTATGCATATGATTTCCATTAAACTATTTACTTCCAATAGACTGCAACTCAGATTTATTTCTTAAGCCTGTGGTTCCCTGAACTATTTGTTTTAGGAAGTAGCTATTTACAGAAAAAAAAAAATTAGCATTTAATGAACTCTTGCTAGGATTGAAATAAAATGCAAAAAAAAAATTGAGGTCATCCTTTGTGTGAATGGATCTTTTTATTTACTTTAAAAAAAAAGAGTCTTGCTCTGTCGCCCAGGCTGGAGTACAGTGGTGCAATCTCAGCTCACTGCAACCTCTGCCTCCCGGGTTCAAGCAATTCTTGTGCCTCAGTCTCCCAAGTAGCTGGGATTACAGACACACTCTACCATGCCCAGCTAATTTTTATATTTTTAGTAGAGACAGGGTTTTACCATGTTGGACAAGCTGGTCTTGAACTCCTGACCTCAAGTGATCCACCTGCCTTGGCCTCCCCAAGGGTTGGGATTACAGGCGTGAGCCACCGCGCTTGGCCGGATCATATTTACTTTTGTAACCCCAGCACTGCTACCTAGTAAACACCCAATAAACATTCTTTTGGGAATGAAAAAAAAAACATGGTCTATAGCAACAGCAACTCTTATACAAAATTGTGTGAAAAAAAAAACTGACCCCGGTCAGAGAACCATAAGTTGTTTATCCCTAACTCTGCTCGTGAGAGTAATACCCAACATAGGTTTCTGCTCTGAGCTTCTCAAGGAAAAAAAAAGATTAATCCTCAGAACTCTTGATTTCTGACTTTCCTGTTTTAATGAGAGTACTGATCACAAAACACAGTGCCCTCTCCAGGTTTGCATAGCCAGCCATTACTGATGCCCGGATTTGTCCCGAGGAACAGACTCTGGCACCTGCACTTGTGTTCTTTTGTAAGGACTGCATCGCTTGTAGGCACTGAAGTAAATTAAAAAAAAAAGTGGCACCATAGTCTTCCCATAATGCTCTTTTTTCTTTTTTTAAAAAAAAAGAGTCTTGCTCTGTCCCCAGGCTAGAGTGCAATGACACGATCAAAAAAAAATGCAATCTCCGCCTCCCTGGTTAAAGCGATTCTCCTTTTTCAAAAAAAAAAGTAGCTGGGATTACAGGCATGTGCCACCACGCCCGGCTAATTAAAAAAAAATAGTAGAGGTGGGGTTTTTCCATGTTGGCCAGGCTGGTCTCGAAAAAAAAACCTCAGGTGATCTGCCCACCTCGGCCTCCTAAAGTGCTGGGAAAAAAAAAATGAACCATCACGCCCGGCCCACAGTGCTCTTTAGTGCCAGTTAAAAAAAAAAAAATTCTAGCACTGTGGCCTCGACCTCTGGGTCTACAACTGAAAAAAAAAAAGTGTCTAGGATAAGAGCTGTCTGGAAGTCCCCTATCCTGTTCTAGGTTGATCTGGATGTGTGTGAGAACTGTCCTTTCTCCATATGACAAGAAAAAAAAAGATAGAATATGCCATTCTCTAGCTGTTAAAGGCTGTACTGTGAAAAAAAAATATTACAGTAGATCCAGTTTCACAGCTTCATGCTTCTTGTTGGCAACTCTTCCCTGACCCTGCCCTGGAACTGAGTATATGCAAAATCCTGCCAAAAAAAAACCTGGGACTTAATGAAGAGCAGAAGGAATTTCAGAAAGTGGCCTTTGACTTTGCTGCCCGGGAGATGGCTCCAAATATGGCAGAGTGGGACCAAAAAAAAAAAGTTTTTCTTGTGCTTAGACGTTCTAACAGATGTCTCAGGCAAAAAAAAAACTTCGTCTCCTAATAATCTAAGTGTTAAATGTCTCCTCCACTAAAAAAAAATTACTGCAAGTAAGAATATGGTAGTGGATGATTTTTCCTAGAAAAAAAAAAGATCATCTTGTACATAACTCTTTTTTGTTACTTGAATAAAGAAAAAAAAAAAAAACTAAGGCAGTTCTATCGATAATAAAAAGAAACTTCTTAAAAAAAAAAAAAGTTTTTACAGGACCCATGTTAACTGATAACCACTGTAAGAAAAAAAAAAGGCATGTTAAGAGAATTCGTGTGCTCTCCCATGTGCAAGCAAAAAAAAAACCTCATTGAACCCTCTAGAAGGAAGGCCGTCTCTGAACCAGTTGCTGATGACCCTGCTCTCTTTTGTACGTAGGAGCTGTTCCCGGTGGATGTGATGCGGAAGGCAGCCCAGCTAGGCTTCGGAGGGGTCTACGTACAAACAGATGTGGGTGGGTCTGGACTGTCACGGCTTGATACCTCTGTCATTTTTGAAGCCTTGGCTACAGGCTGCACCAGCACCACAGCCTATATGAGCATCCACAAGTGAAAAAAAAAGCTTGGAAGGCACAATGAAGTACCCACATGGGCTGACTGTGAAAAAAAAAATTCATAGGAAAAAGATTGATCTTTTGAGGCTGAGTGTCCTCAAAAAAAAAAACTTACAGGGGCCTGGTGCAGTGGCTCATGCCTGTAATCCCAAAAAAAAAAGAGGCAGAGGCGGGTGGATCACGAGGTCAGGAGTTTGAGACCAAAAAAAAAAACATGGTGAAACCCCGTCACTACTAAAAATACAAAAAATTAAAAAAAAAAGATGGTGGGCACCTGTAGTCCCAGCTACTCGGGAGGCTGAGGAAAAAAAAAGGCGTGAACCCAGGAGGCGGAGCTTGCAGTGAGCTGAGATCGCACCACTGTATTCCAGCCTAGGCAACAGAGTGAGACTCCGTCTCAAAACAAAAAAAAAAATACACGCTAGGTCTGCTGCTGCCTGTTGGACTTGATTCTGTCAAAAAAAAATTTGCTTAGGGAATCAGGTCAGCCAGCTTTCTCAGAAATCTTATTTTGAGCTGGTACTAGGAGACTTCTCCAATAAAGTGATCGGGGTCCTCTAAAAAAAAACTTTTTTTTTTTTTTTTTTTTTTTTTTAAGACGGAGTCTCGCAAAAAAAAACAGGCTAGAGTGCAGTGGCATGATTTTGGCTCACTGCAACCTAAAAAAAAAGGGTTCAAGCGATTCTCCTGCCTCAGCCTCCTGAGTAGCTGGAAAAAAAAACACACGCCACCACACCTGGCTAATTTTTTTGTATTTTTTAGTAGAGATGGTGTTTCACCATGTTGGTCAGGCTGGTCTCAAACTCCTGACCTTGTGATCCGCCTGCCTCAGCCTCCCAAAGTGCTAGGATTACAGACGTGAACCAAAAAAAAAGGCCCCCTCACTTTTTTCCTCAATCCGGAGATGGAACTGCCAGTGAGTTGAGGAAGTAATAGAAACTACTCATAGAAAGTACATATAACTCTCAAAAAAAAAGAGGCTCCTGTAACCCGACTAGAAGTAGTACAGACATCCTGGTGAGAAGTGCCTCAGCCTGGTTATCTCTGGGTAGTTCTT